CTGTAGTAATATACAAAAACATAAGGCAGAAAACATGGATTACAGAGTGAATTTCCAACACAAGGAGCAATAGTCACAGTACCTCCTGATAAGTGGTCATACTAAAGGGAGATGTCGTGTTGCAGCTTTCCACTTTCTACCTTTCAAATTGCATTTCTATTTAATAAAAGCAATCATTCACTTGGTTACCTCTTAAAAGATGTTCTATCACTTAAGGTCTTTCCAAGAAGTCAACTTTATACCAATGTCAAAAAAAAAAAAAAAAAAAGACATTTAATGTTTATCTAAAATGCATAAATACTATAAGATAAAATTTCAGTTTTAGGTATTACACTGTGTGAAATTCAAGCAATACAAAATGGAATTTACATCTCCTAATTGTTTGGTATTTCAGTTTTGTTTGTTTGTTTTAGTCAGAGCTTTAGAGATTCCAGTGTTACACACAAACGACAACAAGGTTTACACACAAACACTAGTCAGATGTGTCAATGGCATGTGGTGCTGCAGAGCTGTAATCCCAGCACTCAGGAGGTAGGCCTGAAAGATTAGCACAAGTTTAAAGTCAACCTGATCTACACAGTGACTTCTATCTGCATCAGAGCTGCACAGCAAGACTTTGTCTCAAGAAACACACCAATAAACAAACCATGAACAGAAAAGCCAAGTGGTTTTGAGGTAAAATACAAAGGCCATCAGTTAGGTTACCAGATTGCAAAATGATTAATAATGATCCAGCTGCCAGAATAGGGGTTTATCTCAGAGTGAATAATTATATTATTGGGAAATAACATTACTATTTTATTCAAATTTTAGCATTCTGTATAGGCTGATGGAAATAGCTGTCACACTTCCAGATACTCTTCCAGCTGCCTCCAGGCAAGAAAAAAAAAAAAAAGATGACAGCCCAGTGTCTAGTGGGTAGCAGTATTAAAAAAGCTCATTGAATCTTTATTTCCTGTTCATGGAGAGTCCAGCCTCAAGGATCCAATGAAACATACAACCATGCATAAGTGTGCAAGGCCAAAGGTGGGCATTGGACCATCCCCAGCTGACTACTCCCATAACAAGACATAAGAGTGTGTGGCGCTCATTCTAACACTTCCGAGTACTCCCTGACTGGCCACAGAAGTTACTGGAATCTCATTTCTCTCTTCTTCTCTGTCTTGGCTCACTTGGCCTCCTTCCTTTCTCTCACCAACCTGAGTGAGACCTGCAGGTGCCACTAGGGTTCATCTTACCCAGACTCACTGGGAGCCTGGGGGATAGCTGGACTCTCGATCTCGTGGCTTCCAGCATTATATAGCCAACAGAGAGTGAATGCACTGTGGAAAGGGCTGAAGGTATTTCTGGATAGCCCACTTTCCACAGGGCTACTTCTAAAACAATGCTAGGCTAGGGAGGTGGTTCAGTGGTTTAGAGCTCTTGGTGCACACATGAAAACCTGAGTTCAAATTCTCAGCCCCCTCTGAGCCTGTGACCCCAGCACTTGGCAGGAGGTGGGAGGAGAAGCAAGGAGATGGCTGGGACTTGCTGACCTCCAATCTAGCTTCAGGTTTAGTAAGAGACTGTATCAAGGAAATAAGGCAGAGACCGAGAGCAAAACACCTGTCTTCTTTAATCTCTCTGCACACATTCAACATATGACACACATGTATATTGTACATGCATGCACAGGCACACCCTCAAAGAACCGCTGGTGTGCAAATTTTAAAGGAAAATCACTTGGTTCTGAGTCAACTCAGACCTGTAAGTAAATGATGGTAAAAATGACAACTGACTTATGATGCTTGTGCTGTGGAGTGCAGACACTTCGGTCTCAATGTGCTTCTTCAGGGTGCCAGCTCAAGGATGTAAGAAGCCATGGGAAGAAGTGCAGGAGCGACAGTGAGGAGCGCAGAGATGACAGCTCAGCCCAGCACTGCTGTGTTGTTATGACACAGGAGCACAATCCAGCCATTTCAACTATCTACAGAGTGGCCAGCACTTGCCTTGTTCATACTGCTGTAGTAGCCAGGAGATATTTAAAATGTAATGAATAGTGATCCCTGCCAGAAAAACAAATTTGGCAAAGGAGATCTAACTTGCACAGTATAAAGTCATATAGAACAAACATACAAATGGTCTAGAATTTCCTGTGAGATTCAGAAAAGGGTCATGCTGTTTCTAGCCTAGTAAACTTTAGGCAGAAATAAGTGAAAAACTACAAAAAAATATGAAATATGAGAATATAAATAAAGTTTTAAAATAGATTAATGCATGCAAAAAAGTAACAGATGCCATTATTTTTATAATATATGCAGAAGCAAGGTATAATATGATCATAAACAAAGGAAGGGGAAGAAGAAGTGTGAGGCAGCATCATACTACACTAGTGGCATTCTGGTAAAATCAGGAAGCACACTATGTTCTATACATTAAGAGAATAATACAAGCAGATACAGTTAGCATATAACTCATCTGCAAATTATTCTTTCAAAATACTTGGTATGACCTGGACCCAGCACTGCAGCCCTGTAATCCCAGCTACTTGGAGACTGCAGCAGGAGCACTGTAAGCTAGAGGGCTGTCTGAGCCACAGAGCTCCAAGGCAGCCCAGGCAACCTAGAGAGATGGTGTCTCAATAATGAAGAATAATTTATCAGATCGACAGAAAATTTTAATAGAAAATCTAACTTTTGAGAATGCTAGAACAATAAATATAATTATTATATAGCAATCATACAAATATGATGGGAGCTAATAGGAGAAACGCTTAAAGTGATATTATACATACCTAGAAATTACTAAAATCAAGACTAAAAAAACAAAGCAAGCTACACTTCAGGAAAGCAGATACAGAGATAAAATCAAGGATTTCTGAGAGCTATGTGAACCATGTGACAGATAGCAGACATGCTGTCATTCAAGTTACACCAGACCTGGAAATGATCCCTGGTTATGGGAGTCAAAGTGGAACACTGCCAGCTGAGTGAATGGTGAAGTATGTGGCACATCTTGAAAATGCCAAAACAATTAAGCCTATTAAGACAATATTTCATTAAAGTACAACTATTCAATTATTTCTAAGTAAAGAGAAATCTCAGAAGCTAACACAGTAGTGAGACTAAACCCAGAACATCATGACTCATCATCAAGTGCTCTACTGCAGAGCTGCAGTCCCACCCCTCAAGCCCCCCTTTCTTAGCATATCTGTGTTCATTTATTTCATGTACACTTTATGTGTTCTGCCTGTATAGTAGCCACTCTTGTACCGTGGGCAATCAGCAACAGGCAGAAAAGACAAAAACACTAACCATTAACAACATGCCTAGATACAAGAAAAGAACAACAGGGCATTAGTCAAGAAAAAGAAAACATCTTTGGAATCTTGTTTCTTAAGCGCTACATAAAAACTAGTGGTCATTCAAGGCTTCTGCTGATGTGGAAAAACCAAATTCTGCAGTCTACTCTTCTCTGGGTGGGGATCACTATGTCCCTACCCCCCAGCCTCCCTGAGTGAGGAATCACTAGGTCTCTGTCCCCATTACCAGGCTCTCTGGGGTTCATTAAGTCCCTGTCCCCAGCCTTGCTGAGTGGGAATCACTAGCTCCCTGACCCCAGCCTCTCTGAGTAGAATCATTTGTTCTCACAACTGTCTTTTTGTGCATTAATGGTAATCTGTTCTGACATGGCTTACAAATTAATTGGAAATTCCTCAAAATAATTCTTTAATTCAACTAAGAAAAAAACCTGTCTTACTTTTACAGCTAATGTTTTTAGGTGCTTAGCAGAGTTGCAAACATGCTAACTTTTCCATATAAAAATGTTAAATTCAACTTTTACAGCTATGCTATAAGACCCCAGAGTGCACCTTCATTTAAAAAAAAAAAAAGGTAGATGTGTAGAAATCACTATGACAGTCTTTTCCAACACACATGAGGAATACAACATACTCCTTTCAGTAAAAGCTACATGGGAAACAATTTTCAAGAGGCCTGATGCTTAAAAAGTAGCAAAGCACATCAGATAACTATAAGCCCCCAGGCGATGCTAATATTGTCCTTGGAAATCCAGATTTACCACAATTCCCAGTCTATAGGTATACTACCATCTCATCACAGCACCATGCAAAAGAACACAGCAAGAACACAAGAAAAAATTAATAACAAGCAAAATTAAGTAACACATCATTTGATGGCAAATGCATTATATGGAGGCCGTGCTGTAATGAGTAATAAAGCACATAATGAGACAGCGCAGGTGATGGGCAGATGAAAGACGCAAGCCCACAATCAGCCTCTGCAGCGAATGAGCTCTCATTTACTTTGAGTACAGGTTTACGTATGAGGACTTTGTTTTGTTTTATTGAATAAAATAAATATTTACATCAGATATTACATAAGTCTTGAAAAAGTCCTATTATTTCCATGGTTTACACTGTAACTTAGATATGTATAAAATTTCCTTTTCTATTGGTGATTTTGCTTCATGATTATATATTCTCACCATCCTCTCACTTATATATTAATTTTTGCTCTGATTTGCTGTTGTTTGGGGGACAGGGTCTTACTCAGGATGGCTCTGAACTCACTATGCAGCCAAGTGTGTCCTTACTTTTGATCCCCCTGCTTCCACTTCCTTATTCCTGAGTTTATAGGCATGTGCTGCTATGCCCAGCTTGAGTGGTTTTCTTGTATTGTTATTCATAAAATACTTTCCTCTTTGCTTTTTAATAAGCATGAAATGGAATGATGCAGAAGTCTAGACATATGTTCATTCCATTTATAATTACTTTTTTGCTAAATACTTCTCCACTCAGATCAGAAGATTTGTAAATACTTTTGAAGGTTTAGTTAACCTTCAAAATTTCCCATATACTGCCTGTCTCCACATAGGTACTACTGCCAGCAACACCTTACCAGGGTGGTGAAACTTGCTATATAACCAATGAACCGATACTGACATCACTGCTAAACTAAGTGCACAGTTTAAGGTTTTGTGCATTCTATAGGTCTTGGCAT